TGACCTCGTGATCCGCCTGTCTCGGCCTCCCAAAGTGCTGGTATTACAGGCTTGAGCCACCGCGCCTGGCCTGCTTCATGTTTTTAAAAATTGAGAATCACTGTGCATAAAAGTCCAGACTTCTGGCATCCCTTGAAAAACTGGAGGATCTGGAAACACTGAGCTGATGGCGAGTTGGAGCGCCACGGATTGGCAGAGGGCCAAGGTCGCTGCAACTGCTGTCCTTGGTGGGTTTCAGGCTCTCCTGTTCGCCCAGTCACCCCCTCAGGCCAGCTCACAGGTCTGTGTCACTTGCTTGGGGCCCCAGGATGGTTCTCCACGCGTGATTCTTTTAAATGACACGCTTGCCCCCTCTCATGGGGGAAAGACTGGTAGGTCTGCACCTCCTGGTGGCTGCCCTCAGGGGTCTGTGGTCAGTCCCAGGGCGCCGCAGTGGGATGCAGTAGGCGTGGAGTGGGAGAGAGGATCTAATCCCTGTCTCCTCCCAGGCCTCCAAGGGCAGGCCGGAGTCTAAGATATAACCTGGGCCTTCCAGGGGGTCCCCCACTCTAGGTGAGTCCTGGTCTGGTTACAACCCCCTGAAGCCCCCAACCTGGACATGCCAAGGGAGGGTGTATAGCATAGAGAGTGATTTCTGAAGTCAGCCGGACCCCCCAACCCAAGACATCCTGTGGCATCGTGTAAGTTTGTGCCAAGCCTGATGTTAGATAGGACCAAATACATCAGAGCAGTTACTGGGAGCTTATTAGCAGGCACTAAGCCTTGACACTTGACGGGTCCCTCTGCGGTTAATCCTGGTGGAAGCCAGGCCACAGGAGAGTAGCACCAGCCTGCTTGGTGCCCCCTACCCACTGCAGATCAGTGGTTCTCCGAGGCAGCGTAACTGGGCGGGATGGGCAGGCACCCCCACCATCCGCAGAAAGTACAGTGGTGCTGCTTCTCCCCAGAGCACTCTGCAGGGTCAGCAGCTCATCCTGCCCAGTTTGGAAGGGAAGGTGTCCCCCAGAGAACGGAAGGAGAGCCCCGTCCACCCCGCTCAGCAGAGCAGCCTAGTATCACAGGGGCCAGGGCTACTCACGCAGGCGTCCATGTGGTCAGAGTCTTGAGGGAGTGAGGTTTTTGCTGGGGCCTGTTCCTTGGTTCTGGCTCACCCCCTGAACCTTAGGGCGTTTCATCACTGAGGCACACACCCTGTATCTAGGAGGAGGATAGCAGACCCCATGGTGCTGAGGACCTAGAAAGTACATCTGGCCAGAGCCCAGGTCAGACGCAGAAGCTGGTCCCTGGAGCGGTCACGCTGGCCGAGAAAACACTGTACCCAGACCAAGTGCCCTGAGATGTTGCCACTTCAGCCACAGTGTTCTGCCCTCCTGAGTGATAAAAGGAACCTCATTGGAAAATCCCTCACTTCGGTGCAGACAGTGATTCTCACTGTGTCCCCAAAGCAGGGAGGCTCCAAGGAGACCCACCCACACCCAAACTTGGACACTCCAGCCCTGACTCAGGATGAGTAATTGAAAAGGAAACAACAGGGCAATAAGCAAAGATTTATAAAATTTCTTTGACAATTCAGCAGTGATAGCTGAAGAGCATATTTTTAAGGAAGTCTGAACACCCAGCAACTACACTGCACACCCAGCAGCTACACCGCACACCCAGCAGC